TGACGGAGCCCTGGAACAGGCTGCCCAGGGAGGTTGTGGAGTCTCCTTCTCTGGAGGTATTCAAGACCCGCCTGGACAGGGTCCTGTGCAGCCTGCAGTAGGTGAGCCTGCTTTGATAGCGGGGTTGGACTGGATGACCCACAGAGGTCCCTTCCACCCCCTACCATTCTGTGATTCTGTAATTACAATCATTCACAGTGTGAACATGAGATCTCTGTAAGTGAAAATGGCTGTTGGAGTCGTGTCTGTTTTACAAATTTCTGCTAACATTGAGGACCAGGGTACTAAAAAATAAAATCCCCAAGTGATGCAATTTATCAAATGAAGCCTTAGTGCAAGGGCAATTACATCAGAAAAAACTGATCACTCCCAGTACAGTTTTCTGCGCTTGTGGAAAGTTTCCGGACACTAGCAGAAAGCACGCCTTGGCACGCACAGCGGCATCACGCCGTGTGCTTTGTCATGCAGGTGCCATCCTGCGTGTCCCCAGCAGGCCAAGCGCCTCTGACCCTGGACATGTTCTGCCCCGGGGGTGCGCAGGGCGTCCCGTGCCCTCTCTGCACGGCACTTCCTCTCAGTTGGTACTGCCAGCTGGTAATAAAATCAAGGTCAACAAACAAACAAACCGCAACCCTCTTGTTGCCTGCAACTACACGGCCGCGTTCATGACCCCATTGCAATCCCTCCCTTCCCGTCCTACTCAGTCCCAGGTTCTGCTTCCTCTCTCCGCGTGAGAACGCGTGCTCTGGCACGGGCAACGCCCTGTCCTGCTGCTGGCCGTCTCCCCAGTGAGGATGTTTCCCATGCCCCCTCTTCCAAGATTTCCGAAGCCCACAAGAAGCAGAACACACTCTACTGGAAGTAGTTCTCAGCAATCAAATTAACTTTTAATCGACAACCTGAAAACCAACTGAAAATTGGCAACCGTAGCCTATAGTGAACAGACGGAGGCATTTCTCTGAATTGAATCTCCCTGTAATCTTGCTTTTTTCCTTTTTGTAAGAGTGCACCTAAGATGATGACATTCTTTACCAAGGCACGGCAGTGAAATACCCTAATTAGGTGAAAACACTGGTGTATAGTCTTCCAGCAAAACTCATAGCATGACAACAGCGCTATGGGCTCTGCTGTGGTGTTTCCCCCATAGCAGTAAAATACCCTCCTACAGCCAGAACAAACTGCTAGTAAGAGTACAGCTCTGTTAGTATTTCTACACCACAAGCTTCTGCTAACGGAGCTGTGTCAGACTTCCACCCTCCCACCCAACTCACGCCAACAAAAGCCTGTACCCACCTTTCCAGAGGGCAACTTCTACTCTCAGTTGTTGGCTTTGATAACCCTCTGTTGGCTTCCACGGTACTGATTCAGCTGGAAGCAAGCTTCTTCGAACAAATGAACCCAGCCTGTACTTCTCACGTGTCTGCACACACCGCCTCAAGTAACCCCGCAGCTTCTCCTCGTGCCAGATAACCAAACTCTTGTATCTTCTGTCTTGCAGGTCTTCAGCTTGTTCTGCATGCCACAACTTGCCCTGTGGCTCTTTACTAAAGCTGAAAGGCTTCAGCTAGAGGAGGGAAGACTTGGAGCTTTCATCACGCTTTGCAGCCCAGACCATACACATCGACCAGCGACAACAGCCTTACACGTGCAGAGACCCACTGAGCATCAGAGGCTGTTTGGGAGCGACGGGAACAACACAGCCCCTGCATCAGACAGACACGGTGGCACTTCTTTCATTTTGCTACTTCAGTGACAAAAATGTGGCTGAGCATTAGGGATCATTTTCTTTCTTACAAGGAGTTTTAAAAATATTTGGAAAGATAATAGTCCAATGAGGTCATTTTTATACTAACCCTTCTCTGGCATTCACTGGGCTAGAAATGTGCTTCTCTTTGGTACAGCACGGCTATGTCTGTTTATTATGCTCTTTATTCAACAAATAAAAAAGGAAAAAAGCACAAGCAGCTCCTAGAGCTATTTTTTCCCATGGGTTTTTGTCCCATGCTTCATCAACTTTGTCTACGAGGGCAGAAGGTCCAGCGGGAGCCTTTCCTGCACTCGGTGTTTTAGGTCTTCTTCCCATACAAACTGCCTGGCATTTAGTAAGACATAAGCACATGCTGGGAGCTTTCCCTCAGGGCATGTGAGTTCCTCCCTCTGTTGCCATGTTTACTTTCACTCTATTGATACAAATAAATTTCCTCCTGCCATCCAACAGGCTCACAAGTTATCAGGGATACAGCACGGTCATATACACCCCATCTCTCAGATCAAACCTATTTCTCCCCCCTCTGCCACCCCTTCAGCAGCCCCGTTTGCTGGTGTCTCCATTAAACGACACAACACAGACCACAACAGTTTTTATTGAGTTTTGTTTTGAAAAAAAGTCAAAGACAATGAGAGGCTTGCTTAAAAATTAACAAGTTTAACTTAGGGACAATAGGGACAGTACGCTTATGAGAAGGTTGGAAACATGCTTGGAAGTACGCCAGCACGAAACTCCTGTCATACAGCGTTCCAAAGAACGCATGAGTAACCCCGTCCTGACACACATTTGACCTGTATTGCCAGCACACAATTGGAACATCCTGATAACATCCTGATAACCCTCTGGCAGGGCGGCTGGACGAGATGATCCGCAGAGGTCCCTTCCAGCCCCTGCCATTCTGGGATTCTGTCAGTGTCTGTAGTTAACATTTTCCCAGTGGGTTTTCCAGCTTGCTTACGTCTATACCGAAGTGTAGCTATGTAAACATAGTTTATACATGAGCATCTAACCTGCGTCTGTGTGAGGCCTTATTTGATGTTCACGACGGCCACGCACCATCAAGAATGGATTAAAAAAGTCCAGCTTTCGGAAAGTAACGATTATACTTTTAATTCCATTAATGCACCTACACAAAGACTAAACTGTAAATTAAGCCATATGCAGATGAAGAGAAAAAAATGTATTGTGTATTTAAGAAACTTCCTTCAAAAGATATTATTTTATCTCGATCCAAACATTCACAATAGCAGGAAGCTGGACGATAGCATGTTTACAATCGTGTAAAAGCTCCAAAACCAGTAAAGCATCCTCCCACTATATTAAGAAAATATCCTTTAAAAGATGAAAAATAAGATTAGTCCAAAGCCTCTTGACTGACTGAACCTAAGACAAAAGACTTGGACGCCTATGGTGCATATTATTTAAAAATCAGTTTAAACAGTAATTATTTTGCACGCAAATATGAAAATATTCTTTTAAACATTCCTATTTTCCCGATAAATCAATGCTCAAAATTTGGTCAGAAAGACAAGTCAATCCCCACACTATGGAAGCTTAGAAGTGGATTTCTGGGAAGATTTCCAGTCTTGTTTTTTTCTCTCTCCCCTAATTTTTCTTGTAAGCAGCTTCGAAACAGCAGGTACGATGATACATCTTGTCCTGTGCTCTCCTCCACAGCAGCTTCCACTACAAAGATCCCAGTCATATAAAAAAAATTCCAACTTGCTTTAAGAGTAGCAGTTTTAAGTGCAGACGGCAGGATACGGAATGCTATTCGCGGTGTTTGAGCTAGCTCCAGAGAACGGGCACCGCTCGACGGCACAGGCTGACTGCAGTGCCAGGAAGCTGACCCTGGGGAGAAACAACCCATTCACCAGTGCACACTGGGGGCAAACTGGCTGGAAAGCAGCTCTGCCAAGAAGGACCTGGGTCTCCTCATGGACAACAAACTGACCGTGAGACAGCAGTGGGCCCTTGCAGCAAAGGTGTCCAACAGCCTCCCGGGCTGCGGCAGGAAAAGCATCGCCAGCAGATGAAGGGAGGTGATCCTCCCCTTCGCTCAGCGCTGGTGAGGCACAGCAGGAGGGCTGGGTCTGGTGCTGGGGTCCCCAGCAGAAGAGGGATGTGGGCATACTGGGGCATGGCCAGCAAAGGTCCACGAAGGTGGTTACGGGATCTGAACATCGGACACATGAGGAGAGGCTGAGAGAGCTGCGACTGCTCAGTCCAGAGCAGAGCAGGATCAGGGGGGTCTTACCACGTGTGTAAATGCCTGACTAGGTGATATCCACAGGTTTCTTTCAAGATGAACAACTCTACAACTAACTTTAAATTTTAGGTTAAATTTAAGGTTGTCCTTTGTGCAGGATGGAAGAGTTGTGAACTGGCTACTCAAGCAGGGAATCTGCACTTCATCTTAGCGATTCACAAGTCAAGAGCTTAACACACTCGTGTAGTGAACGCTGCTGGCTCTCAGCTGGGTCAGCCCGGCTCACGGCACGCTCTGGATCATGTACATCATTTGACAAATAGTCCCGACAGGGACTTCAGACGCTAACAACACGTAAGTCAGCTTTGGATCTCCCCTCTGATTGTAAGTGTTGTGGAAATACCAACCCAGAATTTAAGCAAGCAGTACAGTATCGCTTTTAAATGAGAAAGGAACAGAAAAGCATGCTTCTCCGTTCATATTTAATTTCTCAACCATCACCTATTCTGTTTTATCTTCCTGCTTTTAAAAATAGCACTGCAGGTAAAAAGCATTAATTTTAACTTTAAATCTAACTGTGAACACCCACACTCAGTGAGAGCAAAAGAAAACAGAAGACTTTTAGACAAACAGGTTTATAAGATTTATTTTCCATTGCACATACATGGATTATATACAAGTTAGTAACATAAGTTACTTCTTAATTTTCTAAAAGATTGTTACAGCAAACACTTGCCATTTTGAAACATCAAGTCAGAAATCAATCTAAAAAGGTAAATATGACAATATTTTAAAAACAAAACAAATTGCACTTTGTTAGGGAGAGGCAAATACAGGTTTGTCTATATGCTGTAACAAAGTATATAGCAGGTAATATTACAGTTAGAAGTAGCTCTTGCAGTCCATTTGTACATTAATAATTCTTTTCAGTTTTACTTAATTAAAAACTGGTGGATATTTCAAAGACTTTCTCTTCTTCCTAGTACTCAGCACATGAAATGCACTAGCAACTAAGTCTTTATACAATTGCTATTCAAATATAAGAAGAACACCACACCTGAAAACAAGGAAAAAACTAAAACATATTGATTTTACATGTATCATGAGATGAAAAGTATGGAAGGTGTTCAGCAATAAAGCCCTGTCCACTACTTACATAAAAGAAGATTTTAAAAAATAATCACTGCACACAATATAAAGGGTGGGGTCATACTGTAGCTGTTACGTCTCCCGGAACAGTAACATTCCCCTTACTGCTCACAGATGAGGGTTTCCATAGCAAACCTGTTCTCAAAGTGTCGAATCTTTCGGCAATTGATGGCTTCGCGCTTCTGAATTCCTGTGTGTGTCGGTAAAGAACAACGGAGGGTAAACAGAAGAGGGGATGAGGTACTTCAGAGACATAATAGTTCTACATTTACTGTAAGATGTCTCCCGAAATCAGAACCACCCCTCCTCAACGCCCCTCTCAGAGGAAACACACACCGGCACACTCTCAGATGCAGACAATCAATAAGCAGGCAATGACCCTGAAGGTGTGGTGAACCAAATCGCAGCACTGCTTTGGTTAAAACCAACCCGCCAAAACCCCCCCAGCTACTTCTAACCCAGATTAGTTCCCAGTCTCCCTCTCTGTGCATCTGTAATAAAGCTTGTGGGGACATGAGAGAGGGAACAGCAAAGGAATAAACCGCTATAGGCAAAAAAGAGCGGAACTGGAGAAAGACAGAATTTAACCAAATTTTAGACAAACTAATGCTCACTGCCAACCTATGCCCATCATTTATTACCACAGGATCAACATACTGTATTTTGAATTCGATTTTGCTATAAAGACCTTTTCATTCTTAAACATCATTCTAAATTATTTTTATAAAATGTGTTTCTTTTCCTTCTTTTCCCAAGCACTCAGGTCCAACAATATGACTAAAGCAATTCAACTGCTTCAGTGTGCACTTGCACATCACGTACAGGGTTGTTTTTTTCTTTTTTAAAAAAGGCAAGTCTGAGTAAAATCTGAGTTAAAATTTTAAGGCAGTATTTAGTAGCTTGTCAAGACTCTTCCAAATTATGTTTTCCAAACATTCTCCATGGAGGGGTACTAAGCACTACAGTTCTTCCGTGAAGACAACTCTTACTCACACTTCACCAATGTAAATAGGAAGACATGGACTAATTTATAAATGGCTTTAACGACAAGAGGAACCTGCAATTCTGTACTTGGACTACAGGCCTATGGCTTCTCATATATTAAAGGGCTTTTTGGTTTTGGGGGGATGCAAAAGCATCAATGAGAGCCTGGACCCCAGAAAACATACCCATGCATACAGGCATGTTTGAGCAGCTCCTAGCTCTCTGGGCCCTCAAGCACTTTTGCACAACGAAATGAATTATTTACATACCTCCACAGAAAATATCAGGCGTGCTCAAGCCCACAGAGCTGGCTACTGCAATCAGCAATGCCTGCTTTAATAAGAGTCATTCCTTTCAACACAATCAAGCCTATTTATCGAGCTCAAGCGGCACTGAACTTTCTGCCAACACAAAAGATCGCAAGAGGAACGTTTACCTTTCATGGCTTCTTTGCGCTGCAGTTTATAGGTTTCCTTGCCACGGCAGAGGCGGTAAATAAAGAATCCCAGCTGATCCACATTTTCAATGCGATCAGTAACAATCATCTGTTCATGAATCAAATAGGACTGAGGCAAATATGTTCCAGCCTGTTGAATAAAAATATAACCGCTGTGTCAAAAGCCATCTCTTCAAGGTCTAAGTACACAAGAAACACTTTGCACTGTGTTTCTTTAACAGGGCTGTGACATATCTGCTTGGAGTGCTTTCAAAATATGTATTGCCCACCAAGTTTTATTCTAAATGTGCAAAACATGACCACACTGGACTACAGAAATACATAATGATTATATGGAAGAAGGTCACAGAACTTCCACTGATGCGTATGTCCACCGCTCTCCTGCTACAGTAACATCAGCCTTCTGCAGAGAAGAAATGTTTCCTTCCGCGAGCATCCACTGTCACAGATCAGTCCTGCGCTTCTCATCCAAAGTTTTATCTTCATTAACAACGGCCCGAAAGACCTCAGAGGGAACTACTCCCCAACAGGAGCTGGCAGAAGCATGCTCGACATGGAGCATGCTCCACACACTCTCACTGATGAAGCATGCCAGCTGTGGTACACTCCAGCTACAGGCAACAGAATCACAGAATCAATGCTGGGGTTGGAAGGGACCTCTGGGGATCATCTAGTCCAACCCTCCTGCCAAAGCAGGGTCACCTACTGCAGGCTGCACAGGACCCTGTCCAGGCGGGTCTTGAATATCTCCAGAGAAGGAGACTCCACAACCTCCCTGGGCAGCCTGTTCCAGTGCTCCGTTACCCTCAGAGGGAAGAAGTTCTTCCTCATGTTCAGACGGAACTTCCTGTGCCTCAGTTTGTGCCCATTGCCCCTTGTCCTGTCACTGGGCACCACTGAAAAGAGCTTGGCCCCATCCTCCTGACACCCACCCTTCAGATATTTATAAGCATTTATTAGGTCCCCTCTCACAGTAGCTCCTCATGTTTTTTGAACTGGGGAGCCCAGAACTGGACACAGTACTCCAGATGGGGCCTCACTAGGGCAGAGTAGAGGGGGAGCAGAACCTCCCTCGACCTGCTGGCCACACTCTTCTTCATGCACCCCAGGATCCCATTGGCCTTCTTGGCAACAAGGGCACACTGCTAGCTCATGGACAACTTGTCGTCCCCCAGCACTCCCAGGCCACGGGGTTTGGGAAGCCTTGAACTTGCTCACAGCGTGGGTCACAACTCAGGCCAAACACAAGACGAGACCATCTAGCCCCCAAAGTTATTATGGCGACTCCCACGATTGTTTATATGGAAAGGTATTAGAAAGCTGTAGTGGTGTATCAGAGGTTTTAAGGCAATACACTGAAAAAGGAAGAGCCACGTTGACACGCAGAGGCTTCCCAAGCCTTTTCTGGTCCCTTCAGTGTCACTTTGCTGCAGCTGAAATGGCGGAGGAATCTGGCTCTGTGCACACCTCGCTGTGCGCAGCTGAAGATGCACATACTTAGCTGTCAGCCAACTTCCCGATACTGCCACTGGTAAATAATCATCAACCTTTCTGAAATATTACCTCACTTAAGAAATCCTGTTACTGTGACTCTAATCTATGGCGGTAGAAAAGCTGTTGCTTGCTTTCTAAAACAAAATGATCACTTATTATGGAAAAAAATACAGCTTCTATGGTGAAAGTTCACTATATATTTTATTGACAATAAACAACTTGAAATTTCCACTGCAAAACAGGACTGTCTTTCCAGCCCAAGCGACATGTTGAGAAGCAACTCATTAAATGCTATTGTTTTCAGTAAAGAAAGAAAGGACTGTATAAAATTAACTTTAAATTACGAAAATTTTCTTCAGCACGTACTATGAGGAAAACAACAGCAATTTTTTTTCTTTCAATGAGAGCTTGGAAGACTTCATGCTCCCAAATTATCCCACTCATTATTTGGTAATTTAATCACTGTAAATCACTGTATCTTAACCCCCGGTCTCTCTAATTTCAGGAGAGAGTCCCGAGGGAGCTCCAGAGCAGCAGCGGTGCTGAGGCCTCGCGGCTGCCTGCGAGGACAGTCCTGGGCCCGTGCCCTGCGAACTGCGGGACCTCCCGGACCACCACCCGGACCCGGCCTTCTCGGCCCTCCCGGGGCAGTGCCGAGCGCAGGAATCTCCTCTGCTCAGCTGCTGCAGGAGCAGTGACCCAGCACTGGGACCCAAGCGCAGCCAGAAATGTCACCACCATCTTTCAGACACCCTGTGCATCGCATACGGTTAAAATGGGCCAGTTGGCTCCATGATGGAAACAAGGTGGATGAACAAATATAAATATACCTTGTTTCCCACAGAAAGGAGGCCTTTCACTGTCTGCACATTCAAGCAAACTGTATCAATATATAGAAACACGGTTCTTTAGGCTAAAATGATGGCTTTTTTAAAAAAAAAACAAAACAGCCCAGAGCACCTCTGTTTTCATAAAATGCCCTCTGCCATGTATTCAGAGCTCATTTTAATGAAACGGGCACTTTAATTTCATACATTTTTTTTTTTCCTAGTGCAGCCAGTGTGACTGCAGGACAGTGGACAGAAATGTACTCACTTTGTGCATCTGCAGAACAGTTTACCAAATTTCAGTTACAAAACGTGTAGCCTGATTTTCTGAGACATCAAATGCCCACAGCTTTTTGTTAATACAATGAGAATGAAACAGATGTCTCGTAAAATTAGGACACTCACTGTTGGGGACAATGATCAAAACAGTTTGCTTTTGCACAGATTTTCAACAAGATGTGTGATGCCTGGTTATCCTCTTACTTGTAAACCAAGCATATTTGATTTAGTACTAATGACAAACTAGGAAATTAACAGACTCAAAGAGTGGAATTTATGTGAACTAAAAATGGAAACAAACAGCATACACAAAAGCAAAATATATGGGGTCACTGTGTTTTGCAGACACCACCTCATCCTTATGCACAGGAAACGAAAGTGTGGTTAAATAGTCTGTCTCAAAACAGGCAGCAAAAAAGCAGCAGAGGACTTCCTCATGAACTCATTTTTCACACGAAATTTATTTATATACATGAACCACTCAGACGTGGCTAAAATGGTTCCTGGAGTCCTATTTCCAAAGCCTTGTTTGACAGGTGCAAACTCCTAGCTGGTATCAACAATTCTGAAGTTTTTCAAAAGCCCAGCAAAATAAAATTCAAAACATTCTCCCTAAAATCTTAAGACACAAGTTAGCTTATCAGCTCTCTTCCCTGCTCGGAGTGTTTTGCTGTCCTGTAAAGAAATCAGAAGGCTGAAAAACAAGGTAAATACTATTTAAATCTGCACTAAAAGCATACATATGTAGGAGTTAAAGAAAAAGATAAAGATTGTTTGTATTAAATTACTATGAGACTCCCATTAGATGATCTACTTTGGCCTCCTCAATTTCACAGGCCATTACATTTCACCCAGTTACTACTACTAACAGAACAGCATGTCCCCGTGGTGGAGAGAAGCCAGCCAGCACCAGCACCATGGGCCTGGCAGTAGTGTTCAATTATCAAATCCCGCAGGGAAGCGATCAGGAGCTCCCACGACATGATACTGAAAACTCATGTTGGGTTGTTCAGCGATTGTGGTATCTCAGTCCTTTCCAGGGTCCTTGTTTTTAAGGGCATTGAATCTTGTTCTGAAGGTCTGGTGCCCACAAAATCAGGAATCTGGCCACACTAACACCCCCCCTGCTGAAATGTGCTTTGCTAATCATACAGTGCAAATCCTGATCACTCCTACAGAACCTCCCTGGAAATAGGAAGATCCATCTTAAGGCTGCTGGAAGCTGCCTCGTGAACTCGCATCCAGTGCTAGTCCATCACACCCAGTGCCACATCTAATTTCCCTGGGCACGCACAGCCGATCCAACACACCTCACATACATCACCCTCAAGCCACTGGATCAGTTCCAAGCAGGGGCCAGCCCCAGGGACCTACGCTTTAAACAATGCCCGTGTTAAAAGGATTTCCAAGTATATCTACTTTAAGCCTCTCAGCCAACCAGTCCTAGTCCAGCACATACATGCTTTAGAGCAACTTTAGTCACAATGGATTATAAGTCAAAAAACCACATAGACTACTATCCAAGAGTAGGTACACCATATCTACACTGTTTTGTCAATCAAATTTATAGCTTCAAAGAATGAAATCAGGTTTGTTTGCCTTCCTCTCAATTAACAATTCCTTCATGATTGTAGTTAATTAACTACGAAGGTTATAGACTTTCTTCCGTCTCTGCAAAGATCTCTAGTGATCAGTTAACTAACACATGTGCCTTGTGTGAACGTCAGAGTTCTGGGGAAAACAAGAAAAAAAAAAAAAAAAAAGAAAAAATTATCCACTTTCCCTGTCTTAAGAACAAATTACTTACGATTTAACCATACCTTGATGTTGATGAGCAGCTCCAGGAAATTTTTTGGCGGCATAACAACTGAAGTGTTCAGCGGAATCACATAGCACTTATCCAGGCTAAGGTCAAGATAGGCAGTGAGTCTCTGTTGAGGAAATACTTATTTTAGTCAAAATCACGAGAACATCAGACTTTCCTAAACTGTTACTGCCTCGTGTTGTTCTTCAAATTATTGTTTTGTTCAACATAAAGTCTGTCCAACAAACTCCAGCTTGAGGGTAGGTAAACGCAGAAACAAAAAGCCGTCTTGATGAGAGTTTAAATCTGTGACAGGGATTTGTGCAAGGCAGCAGGCGATAAGTAGCTCAAATGCACTACAGTAATGAAATTACAAAGGTGTATCTGAGCTGTCAGGGAATCAAGTACAGTATTCATTTATTTCTAGTGCCTGCATTTTAAAACAACAGGGCAAAAACCTTGCTCCCGTCTCCATGCTTTTGTATTTTGTTATAGTGTAAAGGGGAAAAGCTGCTGGTACGAACAAAATATAGAAGGAAAAAAATCCTTTTGTTTTCAAAAATATTACTGACTTGAAGTGTTAATGATTATTCACAGCCAAATTGTTATCTTTATAGTACCTGAACTGCAATATTTGCCATTATTTGATAAAAACAGAGATATAAAAGCCCAGGGAATTATCCCGATGAATCCTATGGCTCTGTTCACTGAGCCATGCGTTACTGCATCTGTTCTTGCTAAAGAAGACATTCTCTCGAGCTGCTGAAAGCTCTAAGGTTGCAGACATATATCAAATACAGAGCACCAAGAGCCCAACAGTTAAAATAGTACCAGGACAGCAATCATCGGTGCAAATAATCTCATTACATGGGAGTAAGTGCTGTGCCTACGGCAAATGATCCTTGCACTTACCTTTAGAGCAAAGTATTTAACCCGTTAAATCAAAAAGTAAATTTCTAATATTATATTGTTCCTATTCACTTCTTACATACTGCCTTTTTTTCCTGGTTTTCCCTCTTCAGAGGCTTTGCTCTAACTCTTACCAGAAGCTCCCTAAATATATTCAGGAATATTTTTAAATGACATAGCTCAAGCAAGCAACGTTTTCTCCAAAATCTGGTTATGAATATTTGATAGATAGCACTCATTTTGCCTAGGAAACTTGAAACTCTGAAGTTTGCATAAAAAAATAGGACGCTTCCCTATTCTTTTTCAGCCTTGCTTAAAAAAAGCTGTTCAGTGAAGTGTTCAAATGTTCACAGAAATTTAACTTCCTGAAAACCAGCTGTAGAACACTTCATCGCTATGAGACAGCTTCAACCAGGATGACAGAGGAAAAAAAAGGCTTCTAATTGTTTTACAGCTATCATTAATACCGAGAGCTGTAAGCCTGTCGACTGCCTTAGCAAAAACATGCTACCACAATTCCTACCAATCGAAGTTGTTTCTACAAAAAAGGAAGAAACAGCTAAAACTGCTTCGAAACCCCGGTTCAGTGCCTTTAGGAATCCCAATAGCCTGTGGCGCACAAGGAAAATTCGGCTTCTGCTAGGCTTCCTATGGCATCTGGAAAAGCAGCTCCCTTCCACGGTCAGTCAGCTGGCTGCCTCCCTCCCTTTCTGCTGCTGCCTTGGGGTTTCTGAGCCACGCTAGGAGAGCACCTCTGGGGGTGACGTCAGACGCGATCTGCCCCCCGCAAGCTGAGGCCAAAGCTACGACAGCCCTATCTAAACGTCCCTCGGCACCACAACAGTCGGTCAAATTCTGTCTTGGTGGGCTTAGCACCACAAGAACTATATTCTCTTTACTTCCTCATACTAACGGAAGGAAACAGCTCTAAGAGTTTTCCCTTTCTAAAAACAGGAACCGTATTTGCAAATGGTGGTTTACAAACTACCTCGTGATGCCTGTATAACGCTGTACTTTGTGTGCCCTGTTAATAATTGCTTGCAGCCTGCTGCTGATCACAACATTTCTGCTGCCTCCTCCACCCTCCGCTGTTCCCCACCACAATAATTGGGGAGTACGTTTATCACAATGACTGCGGGGGAACATTTTTCAAGTTTTAAATGCTTTCAACTTCAGAAATATTTCTTACCCGGTGGAAGTCATGGACGATATCAGCAGGATCGCTATCAGCAAACTCAGGGACTGGCACACTGATAAACTCAACATCTTCCTCCTCCAGGATCTGAATATTTTGCTCAATCGTGTGGTAGCGAGCACTCTGAGCCTCTGCCCCAGGCTCAGGTAAACTTAAGCCATCTTCAATGTACTTTATTCCACAGAAATACACACCACCCTGCTAAAAACAGGAAACAACCCAGCAACAAACACATCAGTAGACTTTTTAGAAGTTTAAAACTAATATTCTCAAAGCACTGCAGAGAAGAAAAACTTGTCAGACTAGCTGAAATGTTTTCCCTTTGGTTGATTCGTACACCGAAGCAGGAGCCAGTAGCTATCTACAACAGGACCACGGGTAAAACCTTGATTTTTCTGAACCCAGAGGGAGTCCTTCCCTTGAATTCAAAGGGAAACAGGATCCCAAAGGCAGGGTCTTAAAATCTAGTCTTCTGTTTTGCGTCCATTATCTGTGGCACATTGCCTCTTATTTTTAGAAAGATAACAAAGTTCCTACATGCATATTATTATTATTAAATTATGATTTAACTGCATTCAGTAATTGTAATTCAAGGCATTGAAACTGGTCACCCAAATCACTTTCAAAAACCAAGTCTTGACTCTGAATTTGGTCCTGCTTGCAGTAGGCAGTTGAACCAGAGGACTTCAAGAGTTTCCTGCCAACCTCAATTATTACGTGAAGTTCTTTAGTTTTGCAAGGCTTCAGAATTTTTGAAAGTCAGTTTCTAAAATAAATTATTTTTTTGTTTTGAACCATTTTCACAGACAAAAATGTAATGGAAAGAAACTAAAACAACCAATTTGTGTCCTTCTGTCACGGTACACATGGCAGGTTACCTAAGTGTAAAATAAACTCCTGAATCAGAGGAAGTCATATACCAAAATTATAGGCCAGACAGTTTTAGAAACATACAACTTACACATATGCACACGCCACCAATTTAAAGTTTTACACTGCAAACATGTCTTGAGTGCAATATTAACTCAATTCCTGTATGTGTCCTTCAACCCAGATCTGACTTGTGAACAAGTGCCACAGGTTTGAATTAAGCGGCACTTCCAATTTCTGCTACCTGGCGTGTGAAAGGTGGAGCCCTGCGGTGCTAAGCACGGGGGAAACACGCGTTAGTAATGCAGCAGGCCCTCAGCTCCCCTCTCCTTGTTAATCCACCAAGATACACAATGCTGTTTAAGCATCGTTTGGAACACTACAGGTCTCCTCTAAATTAGGTTAATGTGACAGCCAAAGAGACTATAAACTGCAAGTTCAGCTAGAATGTCTCATGTTTAATCACTTTGCCTTCCACATTAGCAGCTACTAAAATGGGGAAAAAATAATCCTGTTAGCAGGGACAAGAACACAGAATTTCTACCTTATAATTATGTGCACCAACCAGTGGGCTAAAGGACTTCATGTTTTGCTTATACTCTCCCTTTCTGACCCTGTGAATCTTGCAGCCCCCGCAGCTTCTGAAGGAGGGTGAGTGTGCTCGCACCACTTGAGCAACAGCGCAGCACATCCAGCACTGCCCAGTGACAATTCCCCCCGAAGGAAGATAATATTTAACTCTGCTCTCCCACGTTTCAGGTAAATGCATGACTTCCCTGGCACTACTCCCTTCACAGGGATCCTCATGCAGTGGTGCCATTTGTTTAAGACTGAAAATACACTTTGTCAGAGGTCTAATCTTGTCAGCGTGGACTAGACTTCACAAAATCACAGAATGGCAGGGGTTGGAAGGGACCTCTGGGGATCATCTAGTCCAACCCCGCTATCAAAGCAGGCTCACCTACAGCAGGCTGCACAGGACGTTGTCCAGGTGGGTCTTGAATATCTCCAGAGAAGGAGACTCCACAACCTCCCTGGGCAGCCTGTTCCAGTGCTCCGTCACCCTCAGAGGGAAGAAGTTCTTCCTCATGTTCAGACGGAACTTCCTATGCTTCCGTTTGTGCCCGTTGCCCCTTGTCCTGTCACTGGGCACCACTGAAAAGAGTCTGGCCTCGTCCTCCTGACACCCACCCTTGAGACATTTATAGGCATTTATTAGGTCCCCTCTCAGCTTCCTCCAGGCTAAACAAGCCCAGCTCCCTCAGCCTTTCCTCACAGGAGAGATGCTCCAGTCCCCTCACCATCCTCGTAGCCCTCTGCTGGACTCTCTCCAGTAGCTCCTCATGTTTTTTTAACTAGGGAGCCCAGAACTGGACACAGTACTCCAGACAGGGTCTCACTAGGGCAGAGTAGAGGGGGACAGAGCACATAGACCTGACAGAGCATGCATAACGACACTGATTGTGCTTCTCCTCAGTCCCCTGCAGGGCCCGTATTTCTTACCCCTGTGGAGGCTAGGAAGGAGGAGAGTCACTGCATTGCTTTGATAAGCAGTTCCTTTCCTGTGCATTAGCAGTACCACATGCATCTAGGAAGCCTGGGGTCAAACAAGGAGGCTTTCAAGGGGTTAATCCACCTCCAGTATTCAGCACTGCGAAACAGGAGAGAGAGCAGGTGAAAATCTGGGACACCACTGGCGTTCCTAAACCCAAGTCCTATTTAGATATAATCCTTTCTCTGCAAAGCAAGGTTTCCAAAAGTGTTGCTTTCTTTATTTGCCAGCTTCGTTCCTGCCATCCTCTGCCAACAAGGAACTTCAGAGCAGACGATACACTTTGCCTTTAGGAAAGCCGAAGTTTTAGAAAGATAAAAATGGGAGTAGCGAGGCTATTGCGTTTAGTCTGTCAATCCTCTTCCCTCTTGTAAGGTAAATCGTAACAGAGAAAACCGCAACCCTCGTGTAACAAAATGGATTTGACTTACCTGGAATGCAAAATATTTGTACAGATAGGCACCGCCCAGGATCACACCAGCCAGCATAAAGGCCAACCCAAAGCACATGCACCAGCACCAGGCCCTCCTCTGCCCAACAGGCACAGCATCCTCAGGGTCCTGCAATGCATCAGAGAGAGACCTTCAACACGCCATTCCCAAGACACATACGACAGCAGATAGCTCAGGCCCAGCAAGTACAAGCACTGCATCCATCAGAAAAGGCTATACGCATTTTATCACAATTGTTTGGAAATGTATTTTATTTGGTAAAGTTTAAAACAGATCTATTTAAGTTGAGGTTTAGGAAAACCTGTACTAACACTCACTTTCAATGCCACTGTCACTGACTAAATCAGCAGACTTAAGTCTTAAGGAAGACAAAAATGTAACAAAATCTCCCACGATACCTAATAACACACAGTGAGCCACTCTGCAGATTGCAGACAGAAAAATAGCTGTTCTCAGGCAACCTCCGTGCAACAACAGCAGGGCAAGGAAGTAATATCAGAAAGGTCAGATTCTTTTTTATCTTGGTGTACGAAGAAACAACAAAAGATCAAAGGTAATAAGAACAGCAAAATATATCCTTTCCTATGTTCCATCAGGAACAAAGAGACTTTACCACTTCTTTGCTGGCAGAATAATAAAAGTGGGAATAAAAAAAAAAGATGCTCTGTAAGTTGTAGTTAAGGAAGTTTTCTGCTCTAAGGCAGCGTTGACTGTGCCTCACTGTATCTGCTATGCATGTTATGCTAAAGGAATAGTGGGATGTTTCCCCTTTAGGGCACTAGTTTGCATAACCATGCAGTCCCCACAGGCATCCTGAGCAATAAACTGCTGCTTGCAAAATCCTTCCTCTATCAGTCACATCACAATGCTCTTTCCTCCCCCAAGTGCTTGCATAACTCACATCCAAAAAAAAGTAAAAACAAAAAAAAAGTCCAACCCAAACCCCCCCATCTTTGAGTCACCCTCTTCCAAGCCATGATAATCCTGGGAAAATCTCAGAATTCAAATAAATACAAAGTAATTCATTACCCCTTTGCAACCAAAAAAACAACAGAGTAGCATGATGACCAAGGCAAAATCATTGTGGCCAAGCAAACAAAAAACCCCAAACCAGAAAACGGAGGAAAAGCATGAGAGAAGCGCTTGAGAAGCCATCGATAGCTATGGCTATCAATCAGTCAGCGTTCTGCCTCGTGGGTTTTTTTGTAGTATCTGCTAATGATTTCCCACTTGAACAAAGTTGTGAGTGTAGTCCCCACACTGCCTTGGTCCAGAGGGGAAGGAATTCCCCTCACCTGGCCATCTAAGCAAGTCTGACACAAAATGGAAACGGGACCCTCCCTGTTAATGGTGGGGAGAAAGAGGCGCTTCCCCAGAATGACTCACCCCAACCACCCCTGAGAGGGAAAAGTAGTCTTTCGGAGGGACTTCTTTTCACTGATTATGGGGGGGGGAAGATTCTTTGGTTAACAAACTAGGTACCCAATCCATAAGCAGCTAAAATTAGGTGATGTGAAACCCACACTGCAATTATCTTCCATACAGAAGTGGCAATGCAGCTTCTTTGCCAGGCAACGGCTGCCAAAATCTGATTCAGAAATATTGAGAGTTGAAATGAGTTTCACAGATTTTGTTTTACGTTACCTTGCAAACTACCGCAGTAAATCAGCTTGTGAAATCTCCATCTCTGGAGGTTTTCAAGACTCAACTAGACAAACCCATGGCTGATCTTGCTTTGTTTCTAAAGGGAGGTGGGACTAGATGATGTCCAGAAGCCCCTTCCAGCCAGCATTTCTGGGATACATTACAGGCAAAGTGAGAGTGGCGAGAAAACAGTTGCCTTGGACTGAAAAAGCAGAATGAAAAGACAAGTAACAACTTTTAAAAGTTTTTACATTACTACTTCTTTAAGGAACTCAATGTAAAGAATTATAGGATTACCAGCTGCCTGCTTTTTAACTTGGCTGCTTGCAAAGACTGAGTGTAGAACATGATATCCACGGTAATCTAATTAACTTTCAGGTCAGGTTAAGATTCACTGTGGACTCTTCTATAAATCATCTCAATTATAAAACTAAACCAGGTAAAACAAGGATTTTTATTTTTATGTTGCCCATGTCATTAGGTAACTATTTCCCTAGACACTTCAAAGCATAAAGGACACCCAAATTAAACTTTCTAAAATAGCTGTCATTTCAAGTATTACAAGTTCATGTCAGAAAAACTGATAGCAAATTAGTTCTTGGATACAATGCAAAAATATTCCCTAGTGAAGAATATAAAGAATCTCTTTATTCTTTCCCAGTGCCGCTATTACTTCCCTCCTTTTTTAACTCCAAGCAGAATTATCCAGTAGTGCAATAACACCTTCTCTTCCATTTTTACATCATTTTGTAAATTCAGAAGACTAACAAAATATGCATCTAGCAAATGATGCGGAAGGCACACACAGCGTGAACACCTACCTGGAAATGGGAATTAATGTCAAATTAATTTTGCACAGGCCACAAAAATAGTCAGAAAAAAGAAAGCAACTTTTACGCTTTTACTGTGCTAAGAGGAACTTGAAGGACAAGTTTATCAGGATTCCACCCTAAATAGTTTTTGCTTTGATATACAAGATGACAGCTATAAACAACAGGTTTAATACAACTCTCTAATCTTCTACCAGCAGCTAAATTTTATCGTTATTTCTGAAGGCATCCCTAATGGTGGCACGTTAACATATTTGGTATTTGTAGTTTCCTACTGCATTGATTTGTCCACAGCCTACTGACAACAGCACACCAAATTTATAGCAAGAGTTGAAGACCAGTTCAGCCTCGACTCAGGAGAGTGCATGGAAGTACTGCATCTCAGCACAGAGCAACCACAAGCATTAGGTAAGACTGAAAACATTTTACACTGTCAAAGGAGAACACAGAATTTATTTCCTCTTCTGAATTTGAAAACTAAGTACATCATCAAACAGTCCAAAACCATTCTAAACCAAAATATTGTAAATAACCTTCTGAAGCTAAATTATACTCCTATTAGTAGCCGTCCCCTGGATAAGCTTTTGTACTTTTGCCATGACAGCTTAGTTTGGGCTGAATTGACCCAGAAGAGTAATTCATCCCTCGCTATATAAATACGACCGTCCGCACTGCAAGAGAAGAAAGTGCGACGGATGCTCGCCCAGGTGACTCATGTTCCGAAAGAAAAAACATTAAGTGAAAGCAGACCCGCACCGAGAGGGACAGTGCTGAATTGGCGTCTCTCCTCACATAGTGACGACTGCACTTTGCTCCCGGGTAGCAGCGCCAGCTTCCGAAGCCAGAGCACCAGCTTCACTGACTGATCTTTCTCTAGGTCAGCTTTCCACTGCCAGAGGTACCCGACAAAAGAAAGCATCATGTACTTGAAGCGAAGATTGACCTCTAAAAATATGCCTCTCTGCTTCTGTGAGCAGCAATAATTAATCATTGCTGTTATGGTCCTTTTCTTTCCCCGGGTCTGCTTCACCCCTGCCCCACGTACTTCCAATTCCCTGGTGAATCCTCAACCTTGCGATGATGCCACCGAACTAATCTTCTCTGATGCAAAATGCCTTAGGAAGAACTGGATGCAAGCCCAATACTGGCTTGTTTCCCTTGACAGGCTGATTGTTCTAATTGGAAAACATTTGATTAGCCTATTTCCCATGGACAAGACATGAAGCAGAATCATCTCTCTGCCACTTGTATACTAAATCCTACAGTGTTAAAATTAAACAGTTCAGAACTTCCCAACTTGAACAGCTTCAAGCTCTGCAGGAACAATTTTCCTGTAGACAGAAAACCAGAAATATTAAATTCTTTGTTACTGAAGACTGACAAGATTCAAATACATTGTCTGCTCACAAAGAAGCTGTAAGATGACCACAGCTTTCAGTAAAGATCCCTTCATCAGTGACCGCAGCAGCTAACGTAAAGCTGCACTCTGTCTTGTTACTGGAACTACTTTGGAGATGGACAAATCATGCCACAAACTATTTACCAAACCACCCCTCAATTACAGAAAAAGAGATCTTCAAAAGAACGTATTTATGACAATTACCATTAACTGTTCTGGAGTGGATTGAAAGAAAAAAGTTAATAAACTCTAAACCTGTAAACAGCAGCAGTTATTAACAGCTACTGGCCATATATTCTCTGGCTCTTTTCAGTTCGATTTTAATGCAACCTTTCTTTTTTTTTTTTCTTTAAAGAAATGCTGAATTTCAGAAGCACCAAATTCATTTTTGGGGTAACATCACAAAATTCTTCTAAGAAACTGCAATACTGAGCCACAAATGTGTATAATTAAGACTTGGTAATCACTTAGATTTTCCCCTTGTGGCTTTTTGTACACAGTAGAATATAATTGCTTTAACATTATGAAAATAAAGCAGTCTAAAAACTTACAAGGCATATGTCTAGTTCATATTAAAATGGATTAAATTATCAGACCTTGTTCCTTCACAGAAATTAAGGACACATCAATTACATGATTTAAAAAAAAAATTCGTATGAATCAACTAAGTAAGAATCCACCTAAACCAGACATGATGGATGTGCTTGGATATGCTGTGGGCAGTTTAGAATACTGTGTGACCGTTGTACGCCTATGCAAAAGATAATGGCCCATATTTAAAAATAGACAGCAATAAAAATTATTTTGATAGGGGAAAATGTCTTTCAGAACCAACAGAGAGTCTTTGATCCACAGAGAAACCAGATACAGAGTATTACTGAGTATTACATATATTATTAAATATGTCTTCAGCATAACACACAAACCATCCATAATTACGCATCTGAGAATAACATCTTATATATATACATACACACACACACACATAAAAGCTTACAATTAGTGCAGATAGAACTGACTGGAAGCCGTTCAGAACAGTTTTCTTCCCAGGTCCTTTGAGTACCAGTTAACTCACACGGATGGACAGAATACAGTGGGGCACACTGAGCTTCCTAAAGGCAAATATTGACCAACTGTTGCTTTAATTAGCGGAACGTGGAGAAGAGAAGTTAATGATGACTCTCTAAAAGTGTATTTTAATGAGGGAGGCTAAAAAATCTTGAAATGAAATACTGACCAATGGCTGTATAAATGGAATTCTGTTGGTCAAGCTCGCCCACTCCGACTTGTAAATCTGACATCTGTAGAAAATCCTCCCAAAAGACAGTCAATTTGAAATGAACTCAATTTAGAAAGAGCTCTGCATTCCTCCCATGGTATTCCTGCCTGAAGACTGCTCTAAGCCTGGTATTCTATTTATTACTTGTTGCAGATGGGAAGTTAAGGCAGGCTTTTGCAAGACTCCTCACTTGGCAGATGCTGCGAGTCTGGAAGGCCATCACACTGATCTGCCTCTCAAGCAGCAATTTTATGCTTCCTAATACAATTAAATCTCAATCTCAAGTACAATGATCTTTTAACTTGCTAGTTGGAAAAACACACTCTTATCACAAGGACCAATGGATTTCTGCGCAGATGATGAAGCCTGAAAACAAGCTACGGTTGTTTATAGGCAGCTGATATCTGAACACTGCAACCCCTCTGTGGCAGCACTGCCAGTTCCTCTTCTGTCAGGATGGACACGGACTCGTCCATATGGCCAAAGGCTCTCTGCCTAAAGAATCACATGAAAACCAGACCTTAGTTCTGGTGTTGCCTGCTGCAGTCATGTAGGCTTGGATAACTGAGGAGATTAATTAATTAGAATTACCTGGTAGGTAGTTGGCACTATTAACCTCTTCCCGTATTTCTAATATCTGTGTATGTCCTATAAAATAATATTGTAAATACAAAATCTATTGTACAGCACTAGAAAATCCAGCAGCGAGAAGAAAATACATTCCAAGAGATTTCCAAAGTTCAAAGTCCAAGGTCCTTTTTGTATTTGTTGAATGCTACCTTTCACCAAATAATTGGTGTGTTTTATTAAAAAATGGATGTCTGTCAAATGACTCATTTCATGGTTCAAACATCGTAACTACCATGGAATAAAAACATTAATATAAGCAGCCAGCTCATCTTAAAAAGGCAGTCAGTGCTGGTGGATAGGAATTTGCATGTATTGAGAAAGATGGAGGTAAAAAGAGAACAAAAACAAAGAAGAAAACAGGGGCACAGGAAATAAAAGTAGAGAGAAACATGGTGGAACACGAAGAGTTCAATTTCTCTGCAGGAAATCAAGGAAAATTACGACTGTAAATTGAATGTAAAGGATGTGAATCAGCAGTTCACCCACAGCTACATGATAGAGGGACAAAAGAAGCTGTCTTG